TTTTAGCAAGAACTTACTGATCCTTATGTGCTAAGCATTGTTTTGTTACTGGGGATACTGTATGTGTGAGAAAGACTGTAATAGTTTCTTTAGTTTATAAATACATAATATAATAATGCTATGAAGAAATAAAGCCAGGTAAGGGTTTAGAGAAGGATGGGATGGAGTATTAATTTTATTTGGAATGATCAAGGAAGGTCTCTCTAAGGAGATAATACTCCGTTGAGATCTGAAGGATAAGAAAAACCCTGCAAAGATCTGGGGGTGATTATTCCAGGCAAAGAGAGCTTGAGCAAGTGCAAAGACCCTGGAAAGAGAATCAACTTGGCATGTTCCAGAAACAGCAAGAAGGGCAGTAGGAAATGAAGGTAGAGAGGTGGGCTGGGCTCAGATTTCATAGGCTATTAGAGTGGCCCAGATAAGATGGTGGAGGGGAGTGAAAAGTGGTTAGATTCCAGGTACTTCGGGCAGTAGGGAGAAGATGGATAGCCATCTGAGATGGAGCAGACAGGACTTGTTGAGGATCATATATAGGATTAGTGGGGTAGGGAAAAGAAAGATTGACCCCTTGGTTTGGGGCCTAGGTTCTGATGCATTGTGTCTATCACAGTGATTAGCTTATAGTAGGTGCTTAGTAAATATTTATGATGTAATGAAGACCAGTATCCAATCTCTAGGAGCTCCCATAGAAAAGTCAACCAATCCAGCATTGGAAGGCTTGTTGACACTAATGAACATTTGTAGAATAAGCAAAGGTTGCTAACCCACGGAACAAAGATGGGTCTGAATTTTCATCTGATGGGAAACAGTCTTTCCTTTTGCTTCAGGAGGCCTGCCCTCTCACAGCATTAGCTTCTCAGTCTAGGGCCTGGAACAGTTTGCCTAGGCTCCAGCCATCCTGGCTGCAGGTACCTGTGAATAGGTTGGAGATAGGTATGGAGCTATGATCTTCCCTGGATTTGTCTGGCAACAGTGGGTTGGAGGACCAGATGGCACTGTGTAAATGGAGACTCTACCTTAGTTGTACCTTTTATGGTTTAGTTTTTTTCTAAAACAACCTTAAGTTCTTTCCTTATTCATAAAAGACAAAAAAGCTAAAATATTAATTGCTTAGTAGGAAAAGAAATATTAGCATAACAGAAGATGTAATAAGATAACATATAATTATTTATCAAATGCGTGATATTTTAAACCCTTCTCAGAAACCTTCAGGGACTCTGTACTGCCTGCACATCAAAGTCTGCCTTTTTTAAGCTGGCATACAGAATCCTCCAGAATCTCTCCCAGGTACCTTTGCAGCTTCCTCTTAAACCAATTTCCCATGTGCATCTGGTGCTGAAAACATTCTAATTTCTGATTCTTTTCTGCCAATCTCAGAACGATCTCTGAGTTTTCTTCTCCCTCATACATTTTCCAAGTCCTCTCTTACTCTTTCAACTCTGACCCAGACTTTAGAGCCCAGGTGAGACATGAGACAGGTTCTTCTCTTGAAGCCTTTCTAAACTCTTCCAGCTCCTGGAGATTTCTCCCCTGTGCAGATGCTATGATCATGGTGGTCGGCGGCTTCAGTTTTATGTAGCAACGAGTGTGTGGCATGTACAGACAGGTCGAGCAAAGCATGACTATGGAGCCATTTTGTTTCAGAGGCTGACTTTACTGCTCTCCTTTGAACATAATTGCCGTCTGAAAGGGCATTTCAGTTTCACGAATTGCACAACTGTTATATAAGCACTGTTGTTAAAATCCTATGCCGTAATTACCAAAAGTAGACATTGTTTTGCTTATATCCAAATCTTCAAAAGGAAGTTTGCTGACTGCTGTTGGGCATATACGGAAGAGGTGTAACCTGTCTTCTAGTCCATTGCTCTAACCTCTTGGTTATTCACATGGATATTGTGCCAGAGCTGCTGGTACTCATCTGGATCAGACCACCTTCTAGGTGGTCACAGCTGCGTGTGTGCTGTTGAAGAAGGAAGTACAGAAATGTCTTTCCTTTTTGTGTTGCCTGAGCTACTGTTGTTTAATGTATGCATATGTAATATGTATTTTTCAAATGGTTTTTTAAAAAAGATTTTTATTTATTTATTTGACAGAGAGGGAAGGATCACAAGTAGAGCAGCAGGCAGAGAGAGAGGGGGAAGCAGGCTCCCCGTTGAACAGAGAGCCCAATGTGGGGCTCGATCCCAGGACCCTGAGATCATGACCTGAACTGAAGGCAGAGGCTTAACCCACTGAGCCACCCAGGTGCCCCTCAAATTTTTTTTTCCCCACTTCGGATTCCTGCAAAGTAATGTGGAAAGCTTGAATGTTTTCCTCTTCAACCTTTCCTCTTCTCACTCTCAATGATCAGTGTTATTAGAGGGAGAAACTAGCCTAGACGTTACAGTAGAATCATGTTTTGTTAAACTTAATGGAATGTATAGTTTGTATTTCAACCTCCTTAAAATGGATGTCTGGCTATAAGCTCTATCCCAAGGACAAACACTGTCACTTCTTAATGTTCATGGAGCAATTGATGAATACTATAATTGAAAGCAGTAATTGTCTTGGGGAAGTGAGAGGATTTTTGTGCAAAAAGGGGTATTTGAAAAATATGTTCCTGAGTAGATATTGCCACTTGAAAATAAATATTGCTTTGCATCCTACTTTTTTTCTGTATTTGAGTTATTTGCTTAGCCAGTGTTGTAGTTCCTATTTTAGAAAGCATATACCTGGACATTTTGGAAGATACAAAGACTACTTAGAATGGAGCTTGTTCTCAAGGAGCTTAGTTTGTATGAAGGTCATACCTACAATTTAGTTTAAGACAATTTTTAATGTAGTTTTATGTTGCTTTGGGTTTTAAAATAGTGTGAAAGGGAAAAAATATGTAGTGTTGAGGAGAATTTTAGGAGGTGAGTAGGACAGATGATGGAGACTATAGACGGCTTTTAGATTCAGACTGATGGCTGTTATCGGTTCCACTTCTAGGAATTCAGACTGATGGCTGTTATCGGTTCCACTTCTAGGACTGTTTGTGAATGAATACCTAAATTTTTGAGAGCTAGAGATGAAAAGGACCGTGGCCAAGATTATAGTGAATGGAGAGTAGGGTACAAGTTTGTAGTTACCAGTGCTAGGGAGCAGGTAGGTGAAAGTGGGATGTGTAGGGTAGCTGAATTCTAACATGTTTGGAAGTATCTGAGGTTAGAGAAAGCTAATTAGATAGGTGGTAGGAATAGCACCATGCTCAAAAAGAGCTATGCTTAGAGTCCTAAAATCTGGATTTTGTTACCTGGCTCAGTCATTTATAAGCTAAATAAATTACTGCATTAGGCAAGTCCTTTCACTTTTATAATCTATCTATATTTAAAGTGGGTCTCTTGGGTGGCCTGGGTGGCTCAGTTGGTGAAGTGACTGACTCATGATTTTGGCTCAAGTCGCGATGTCAGGGTCATGATATCTAGCCCTGTGTCAGGCTCTATGCCTTTCGTGGAACCTGCTTAAGATTCTCTCTCTCCCTCTGGCTCTCCCTCGCCCTTCCCCTCATGCTCTCTCAAAAATAAGTAAGTAAGCAAATAAATAAATAAATATTGGGCTTCTTATAGATAGCATATAGTTGGGTTTTATTTATTAAATTTAATCTAAAACTCACTACCTTTTAACTGACATGTTTAGACTATTCACAGTTGTAATTATTTTTGTTTGTTTTAAATTCTACCGTCTTGCAAGCTGTTCCCATTGTGTTCCACCTACTTTTGGTTCTTTTTTTCCTCATTCCTTGCTTTCTTTCAGATTGAAAAAAATTTATGATCCTGTTTTCTCTCTGCAATTGTCGTATTATTTGTATTTTTAAAAAATTAGTAGTTACTCTTGGGTTTACAATATACATCTATTATCAGAGCCTGCCTTCAAATAATAATTTATCACTTCATATCTAGTTTAAGACCTTAAAATTCCCAATTCCTCCACCCATTTTTTGTGCTATTTTTATATAGTTTATACAATTTTACATTTATATATTTTATTTTGCATATGCAAAATGCATTCCTGTTGTTACTTAGAGGTTTATCTTTTAGAGCAATTAAAGATATTACAAATTTAAAAATGGATTTTATTTTATTTTCATGTGTTCCGTTCCTGGACTTTACTTCTTTGTTGTGTATTGTGTAGACCTATTTCTGTTTGATATATGTAAATACAGTAGCACTGGTCTACTGGAAGTTCTCTTAGTATTTGTCTGAGAAAGTTTTTATTTCTCCATCTTTTAAAAGATATTCTCTCTGGTTATAGAATTGTTGACAGCTGTTTTTTCTGTGATAAAGGCATTACCCCGTTATCTTCTGATGTTTCAAATGAGAAATCAGTTATAATTTTTGTCTTTGTTCCTGTGCATTTCAATTTGGCTGTCTCAGATGTTATCTTTGTCTTCAGGATTTTATCTTTGCTTTTAGCAGCTTGAGTATGATATATGTAGGTGTGGGATTTTGTTTTATTTTTGTTTCTAAATTTGTTGTTTTTGGTATTCTCTGAGATTCTTGGATCTATAGTTTGGTGTCTGTCTTTAATTTTGGAAAATTCTTGGCTACTGTGTCTTCAAATATTTTTTTCTGCCCATTCTTTGTCTTCTCCTTTTGGGATTCCAATTATAAATAAGTTAGATTGTTTAATATGTCCCATAGCTCTTGGATATTCTCTTACATTATTGTTATTGTTTGTTTTTTTTTAATTCTGTTTTTCTTTTTCAGTTTGGGTAATTTCTTTTGACTGGTCCTCGATTTCATGGATTCTTTCTTTGACTCTGTCAAATATGTTGATGACCCTGTCAGAGGCATTCATTCTTCATGTATTAACTGTGTTTTTCACTTTTAGTATTTCAATTCAATTCTTTCTTATAGTTTCCATCACTCTGTTGCATTTTCTAGTATTAACTTTTATCTTTTTCCTTCCCAGATAGTAGCCATGTCAGGGAAGATTAGGATTTTGTTGGTTTTTTCTTATGCCTCTTTTGCATATCTTAGGTTTGGAAAAGCCTTTTGACCCAGGAATCACCAAGAGCTGTTCCAAAATAGAAGGACATAAGAAATGTACTCAAACTAGCTTGGCCTGAGTAGGAAGTAAGAAGAGAGTTATAGACGGGTTGCATTGAGGAATGAAGAGCTGCTGTGTGTATCCGTAAATCTGATTGACTTGCTCAGGGTAAGTGGTCATCTAAATCTGTTCTTTTCTTCTTCATAACTTAATAAGATCATAAAGTAACTATTATTTCACTCTCGTTAAATGGGATGACCAGCTATAGCCCCTTCATCCAAACAAAATTAATGTGTGTTATTTTTACAGTAAAGGGTGTATTTTTCTGTCAGTTCCAAAACAGGAAATTTTCTGAGTCTTCCATCTAATATAATTTAATCTCTGGCCACAGTCATAAAGTTGTGTATTCATTTGTCCTTTGATTCATTCAAATACGTTGTAAGTCTCCTGTCTCAGAGTTGTTGTACATTTGTTGGTAATTACAGTGGTGAACAAGATATCCTTTCCTCCAGGAACTGGAGAGACTCTTACTTAACTAACACAAAAGTGTGATTAGTACTATTATGAAGCTGCAAAATGCTATGGGATACAGAGAGTATAGTGATTCACTTGGGCTGGGGGATTGGTTGTGCTTTGTAGAAGAGGTAGCATTTTAACTGGGTATAAAAATGCTTAGAACCTTGATGGTCAGAGAGGTTGATCACCATTCTAAGCTAAGCAAACAGCTAACACAAAGGCATTCACTTGTGAAGTATCTGGTAAGCAGTTTATGGTCTATTACAAGAAAAGGACCATTTTAGTTTCAGGGACTTGCAGGCAGCAGTGAAGGTTTGCAACTAGATCCTGTTTTGTGGTATACCAGGGAATGAAAAACTTGGAAAGACGACAGTGATAGTGGGAGGGGACAGGCCATCCTGACACCTTTTCTGAGGGGAAAACTTCGAGGGGAGCCAGGCAGAGATGGAGAAGAATTCTTGATAGTTTATACTTTGGGAAGTCCCATACCTAATGACTTATTTGCTTTGACTTGGCTGGTTTTGGTCTGGTTTTGTTTTTGTTTTTGTTTTCCCTGATCAAGACATACGAGGCTCAAGTAAAGAAAGTGAATCTGATACTTGCCCCCCAAACTGAACTTCCTCTTCACTCTCACAAAAGACAAATAGAACTGTTAAAATGTGTGAGCACTGAGAATTACTTAATCCATTAATTCTGGTGTTTTCTTCAGGATAGAAGGCTGAAGCGTCTGTCTCCAGAAATGTCTTTAGAAAGTAAAGAGCAAAATGATCTGTCACCCAAGAATTCAGCTGAAGAAAACCACCAAAACAGTTCTCTGTCTGATATGCATCTGCAGCTCGAAAGGGACTCAGATACTGCCTTGAAGCAATTTGAAGCAAGTGATCAAAGCACACCTTACCGTAGGATCCACATGGAGCCTCAAGAGAAGTCAACTACTGACTTCAAGCAATTCGTCATTAAAAAACTGCACAAAAGTTGCCAGTGCAGTCCAGCCAGAGCCAAAAATATGATTTTGGGTTTCCTTCCTGTTTTGCAGTGGCTCCCAAAATATGATCTGAAGAAAAACATTTTAGGGGATGTGATGTCTGGCTTGATTGTGGGCATCCTGTTAGTGCCCCAGTCCATTGCTTACTCCCTGTTGGCTGGCCAAGAACCTATCTATGGGCTGTATACCTCTTTTTTTGCCAGCATCATTTATTTCTTATTGGGTACCTCCCGTCACATCTCTGTGGGTATTTTTGGAATATTGTGCCTTATGATAGGTGAGGTAGTTGACCGAGAACTACTCAAAGCCGGCTATGACACTGCCGAGGGCGCGCCTTCTCATTTCGGGATGGTTTCCAATGGGAGCGAGCTATTAAACCAGACATCGGACTGGATGTGTGACAGAAGCTGCTACGCGATCGCGATCGGCAGCACAGTGACCTTCCTGGCTGGAGTTTACCAGGTAAGAAACCGTGGCCCGAGTCATTCTTTCTAGCAAAAGCAGTCCCTGTACTTGAAATCTCAGATCTCTCAGGGGTCTCAGAGAGTGTAATAATTAAAGCTGTCATTCGTTGAATGCTCAGGACATGTGAGGGATAGAGCCAAAATTCAAGCCCGGGTTTGACTCCGCAGGTGAGATAAGGCTGTTTCTCTTCTCTCAACCTTAGGCTGCCTCTTAGCCAAGGAATTTCAGTCAGCCAGACTGTCATTATCTGGTTGTAAAAACGTTGACCAGCTAGGGACCTCAGATCACTCGGGACAACTCCGTCATTTTACACGTTGAGAAACGTTGGGTTTGCTTGTGATGATGTGTGGTTGCTTATCAGCAGAGTCAGCATGAACAAGCCAGGAGGAGGGTAACAGGCTGCAGGTTGGCAAAGGGAGGAGGGCAGGTGGTTTCAAATTGTAGATGCCCCACCTTTAGATTTGTTGCTCTGGTGAGTGACTCTCACCAAAGATGGCAATTTTCTTGGACTTCTGGGGAACAATTGAGAACCACCATTTTGTATTATTAGCCAGAAGAAAGGATTAGAAAATTAGATTCTCTTCGGGTCTCCCATAGAATCTGCTAAGCGACCATTATCATCCTGCCCCTGTCTTTTGCCTCCAGGAGTCCATGCCAGCCTTAGACCTCTTCTCTGTTATAGGCATTTGGTTCCAGTGTGGGCTGGGGGAGGGAGAGTAGCTCCTTTTGTGTAGTGTCTGGTGAAGAGGAGAGGCAGAAGCAGGTGACAGGCAGAAGAGTGGGGGGCTCTGCGGGGTCTGTGTTGGCTATTTTATTAGTATGTCTCACCAGTGAGAATAGGCTCAGTAGAATTCTGAGGAATCATTGGGAAGAAGAAAAAATAAAGAAATGAAAAAGTTTTGTCTTTGAGGACGCAGATTTGGTATGGGAGGCAGTTTGACACCAGCACATACACACTGAATGAGAAGAGTTTCTCGGCATGAGGTTGATGAGTGTGTGCTATAATAATTTTCAATATGATTCTTTGATGTGCATTCAGTTTTTTATCAGTTAAAACTTCACTTTTATAGTACTGATTCATAATTTAATAAAAACACATGGTTTTTTAATTAGGAGAATTTTTCCAGGTTGAGTTTTTATAATTTCTTGTGGATCCTTAAGAATTTTTTCTTTTCCAAAGAGGTCTGAACTTTATTCATGCTTAAGACACATTGTAGAAGAAAGTAGGAATCTTCAGTTCTTGTCTCATGCGGGCTGAGTAACAGTGTGTCTTTGAGCTAGTTTCTTAGCCCTCTGCGTGTCAGTAGAACGAGAGGACTGATGTACAGTTAATTTTTTCCTACCTCTGACATTTTGTGATGCTGCAGGTACATCTCCATGCAAAGCAATGCCAGGGTATTTATTTAGAGGGTTTAGAAGCTCTTTTCCACTTACATTTAACACTTATATATCCTTCCTTCCAGGTAGCGATGGGCTTCTTCCAAGTGGGCTTTGTTTCTGTCTACCTCTCAGACGCCTTGCTGAGTGGATTTGTTACTGGTGCCTCCTTCACTATTCTTACGTCTCAGGCCAAGTATCTCCTTGGGCTCAGCCTTCCTCGGAGTAGTGGTGCGGGCTCGCTCATCGCCACTTGGATACAAATCTTCAGAAACATTCATAAGACCAATCTCTGTGATCTCATCACCAGCCTTTTGTGCCTTTTGGTTCTCTTGCCAACCAAAGAACTCAATGAGCACTTCAAGTCCAAGCTTAAGGCACCAGTTCCAACTGAACTCATTGTCGTTGTGGCAGCCACGTTAGCCTCTCATTTTGGAAAACTAAATGAGAAATACAATACCAGTATTGCTGGGTCTATTCCCACAGGGTTCATGCCACCAAAAGCACCCGACTGGAACCTAATTCCTAGTTTGGCTGTAGATGCGATAGCTATTTCGATCATTGGTTTTGCTATCACTGTATCACTTTCTGAGATGTTTGCCAAAAAACATGGCTACACGGTCAAAGCCAATCAGGAGATGTACGCCATTGGCTTTTGCAATATCATCCCTTCCTTCTTCCACTGCTTTACTACTAGCGCAGCTCTTGCAAAGACCTTGGTTAAAGAATCAACAGGCTGCCAAACTCAGCTTTCTGGTGTGGTGACAGCCTTGGTTCTTCTGTTGGTCCTCCTGGTAATAGCTCCTTTATTCTATTCCCTTCAGAAAAGTGTCCTTGGTGTAATCACCATTGTAAATCTCCGGGGAGCCCTACTTAAATTTAAGGATCTGCCCAAGATGTGGAAGGTTAGCAGAATGGATACAGTTATCTGGTTTGTTACCATGCTGTCCTCTGCACTGATAAGTACTGAAATAGGCCTGCTTACTGGGGTTTGTTTTTCTATGTTTTGTGTCATTCTCCGCACTCAGAAGCCAAAGACTTCATTGCTCGGTTTGGTGGAAGAGTCTGAAATCTTTGAGTCCGTGTCTGCTTACAAGAATCTTCAGACTAAGCCAGGCATCAAGATATTCCGTTTTATAGCCCCTCTCTACTACATAAACAAAGAATGTTTTAAATCTGCTTTATACAAAAAGACTCTCAACCCAGTCTTAGTAAAGGCTGCTCGGAAGAAGGCCGCAAAGAGAAAGATCATGAAGGAGACAGTGATTCTCAGTGGAATTCAGGATGAAGTTTCCATGCAACTTTCCCATGATCCCTTGGATCTTCATACCATAGTGATTGACTGTAGCGCAATACAGTTTTTAGATACAGCAGGGATCCATACACTGAAAGAAGTTCGTAGAGATTATGAAGCCATTGGCATCCAGGTTCTGCTGGCTCAATGCAATCCCTCTGTGAGGGATTCCCTGGCCTGCGGAGAGTATTTCAAAGAGGAAGAAGAAAATCTCCTCTTTTATAGTGTGTATGAAGCAGTGGCCTTTGCAGAATATCAGAATCAGAAAGGAGTATGTATTTCCAATGGTCTGAGCCTTTCCAGCGATTGACTGAGAAAGTAGATGGAAAGAAATATGATGTCTAGCCAATAGGTTAAGGTTTGAAGGATGTAACATTTTGTAGTTCCACAGTGGAAACTGTTGCACTTGAAATTTTAACCTGGGGCGCCTGGGTGGTTCGGTTAGTTAAGCGTCTGCCTTCGGCTCAGGTCATGATCCCAGGGTCCTGGACAGTTAAGCATCTGCCTTCGGCTCAGGTCATGATCCCAGGGTCCTGGCATTGAGCCCCACATTGGGCTCCCTGCTCAGTGGGGAGCCTGCTTCTCTCTCTCCCTCTGTGTGTTCACCCTTGCGTGCGTACGCGTGCTCTCTCTCTCTCTCAAATAAATAAATAAATATTTTTTAAAAAAAGTTTCACCTGTTTGTTAGACATTATTCCTTTGATGCTGATGGCCTCTGTAGATAGACATATGTGGTGAAGTTTATAGTTGGGCAGAATCACAAAGAAGTAAATAATGTGGTTTCAGGCTTCCTTGCAGATATGAGGTATTCTTGGAATTACATAAATATTGAACTGTAAACTAGCCCTCAAACTCAATTACCATGCTATTGTAGAAGATAAGCATATGGACTCTTCCTTCAGAATCAGGGGGTAAAGCCGACATTGATGTGGGAAGCGCTGGCACCCACTTGATGTGACTCTTTGGAGAGGGAGTAGAAGGGGGCCAAGGAAACAGTGTTGTGCCTGCCTGCCCTGATACCAGCAGGTCAGGAGACTTCTGGGGCAAAGGGTTTATTCTTACTTGTACTTCTCTCTTCCCAGTCTTGGCTCCCTAGACATCAGTGGCATCTCTGGCTTGGTGTAGGAGAGCACCATTCCTTAAGGCAGGGAACCATAGGCACAGTCTTATTAGGGGTTTGGGGGCTGGGCAGGCTTGTGAAATCCTACCAGCCGGCCTCATGTTACTTAGAGCATTCTTCATGATACATTGGATGTTTTTAGTCTTGCCTGTTTATTTAGGGTAAGTACGCAAGTGAAGAGCTCTTCTTCTTAATCAGCCAGAATAATAGGAATCCTCCCTGTCTTTTCTGTGATCTCAGTCTTTCCCCATTTCTGAGTATTTCTCCACCATTAAGCTCTTTGGTAGCTTTCATTCACTTAGTGTTTCTCATGGAACCTGTCTTACAGTGCTGTGGATTACCAGCGACAAGCTTGCCAGGTAAGAGGCAGAACGCTGACTCCACAATTCTAGACAGCCATTTTAAATGAGCCTGAGGCCACTGTTAAGGATGGATTGGAAAAAGGAATGATTGATGGTTTCCTTTAAGATTTGTTTACTTAGCAGTGAATTTTTTTTCCCTTCCCATGGCATTTTAGCAAGGGTCCCTGGGGATTGACAGGCTTCTTCAAGTAGAAGATAACTAGTCATCTTCACTCTTGCAGGAATATTTTATTGTAACCAATGGAAAGGAGTGCATGGAAGTGATAAGATGCTTCCAAAAGAACATCAATAATTAATTGGTAGATGTTTTACTGAAAACAAAGCTAATGCTTACTGCCATGCACCTTATTGATGTACAATAAATACGGATGACAGTGGCAGCTTTTAACTCTCTGCGTTACCTAAAACTAGTATGCAGGAGGATTTAGAAACATCACATTCATACATCCCATCTTCTTTGTATATTATTTATGACAGCTGGCCACAGGTTATGGCCACAGGAATAGTTCCTTTTTAAAAGCAAGAATGTCCGACATTAAAATCTTATCATTCTGTATGTGGACCTTGATAGGCAAAAAACCCAAAAAAACAAAAAAAACAGGTTTTCCAAAGTTAGGACTAGGAGACTAATTTATGTGAGCTTGAAACATTTAGCCACACTAACACAAGCAAAATAATAATTACAGAAATGCAAATCATTTTTTAACCTCCTACTACATTCTAAACAACTTAAAATATTTATGAGAAGCAAACCCTATGTGTAGGGCATCTGTTGGAGTGGGACACCTTTAAACATATTTAGCTTCCTTGTTGGCTCCAAAAACCCCCAAGTGTTGCTATTCTATTGGTAGAACTCTGCCCATCTGTTTACATGGAAAATGCCTTTCTATTATTAAAACAAAGCTATTTCTCAAAAAAAAAAAAAAAAAAAAAAAGCAGATTTCTGTCTTGGAAGTGATTGACTTCGTGGTTAAATATAATAAGTACTAAATTTTGACATCCTTTTAGAACTTAAGTCTAGAATTTCAGAAATATTAAGTGCTATTTGTTATTTCTGGGTTTTTTCCTACCTTTTGTTGGGTTTTAGCCACTACTTGCCCTTTCTATCCAGTTTTAGGAATAGGAATAGTGAAATCACAGTGTCTTGGTTAGTTGTTTTTAATCCCTCTTAACTACCCTGCCAAACCAGGTTTGAATCCAGACCATTACAGATGTCTAATGCCATGTGAGAGAGAGTAAGTGAGTACATGTTTAAGATAACCCTATCATTTAGCAAACACTAGCACAGCAAAAAAAGAAAAAGAAAAAGAAAAAAAAAAGTGTCCAAAGAATCTGGAAAATGCCTTGGAATGGAGGAACAAGATCTGACTTTGACCTGACTTCTCTGTCCATATGAGGATATAAACAATTATGGAAGTTCATGCGATTAGCAGATTCTTGAATTGTGTTCCTGTTTGTTCCTCTTCGACCCAAGCAAGCAAACAAGAATCTACTTTTGGCATCCACTTGTAAACACATTTAAGATTTCACTAGAATTTATACCTCACTTCTCTGCTTGGGTTGAGGCCCTCCTAAACTGACACACTGTTGATTGCTAGTATTTAAAGAAATCAAATCTGAAACCAAAATCTAACTCACCAACAAAACCATTATTTCCATTTTTTTTTTCTTGCTCAAGGCTTGGACTTTAGTTAATAGCTGATACTTTACACACTTTATGGATACAAAAATATCTTGCTTACCCTCAACTTTAGAGTCTAAAGGAAGCATTTTCTCATTGCTTATTAACAAATATATAAAATTCCAAATATCTTCAAACGGTCATTTAATTGAAACGTAGTGTCTACGTTCTTGATGGTTAAAACTGAGAGCCAGAGGGGTGGGGTATTCCAGGGCACAGAAAGAGAAAGGATAACATTCAAGAGGAGTGAAAGGAATACACCATTGAAAAAGCCTCTAACCAAATGGGGGAGAAAGGAGAGGGATCCACTTGAGTAGGATCCAATCCCCAGAGCCTCACACGGCAGTAGGGAGAGGAAGAATAGGAGCCACACCTTAATTTGACAGCAGAGTCAGAACTGGGTTCTGTTTCTAGAAAGGGAGGGCAGATTTACCAAAGCTGAAGGAGCTGAAGAGCGTGTGGTACCCTAGGGCTGGGGCAAAGGCGCAACTGACCTACTCGGGAGCATAGACTGAGGGACTGTAGCCTACGATGGTGGTAAAAGTAACAAATGTCTAGTTGACAAATTTTTTTTTTTTTTTGAGTGGGACCAAAGGAAAAGAAATCTGAATAGTGCAATTTAGCTTTTAAACAATAGTAGTCATTGAGAGGTGCCTGGGTGGCTCAGTGGGTAAAGCCTCTACCTTCCGCAGGTCCTGATCCTGCTCAGCAGGGAGCCTGCTTCCCTTCCTCTCTCTGCCTGCTGCTCTGCCTACTTATGATCTCTGTCTGTCAAATAAATAAATAAAATCTTAAAAAGAAATAAACAAAAAACAAAAAACCAATAGTAGTCATCGAAACCCAAATTTGGGTAAATTTCCAGTATGATACATGGTGATCTTTAAACATATATCAAGATGTTAGATGAGTTCATTAGACTACTCCAATGCTAATGAATATGTTTCAACGAACGGTTACTCTCTGCAGGCATACTTTCCTAACAGTTTGTCGCTGAAGAACACATTGCCTGGGTGTTAGCCCTGCTCTTAATATAAATGTGAGAAAAACGCAGTGAATTTCTTGGGAACTTAAATGGAGTCTGGAAGTTACGATGATAAATTTGAGCTCTGGGATCTTTGTTAATGTTATTAATGAATTGTTTTCCTCTCTGTATTGTGACAGATGAGCTATAGGTTCCTTCTGCACCTGTGTAGATAACAACTCAATACTTGCTGAGACCCGTGCAGGGATCTAGGTCCCTGGGCCGGGCCCTGGGACTCTGGTACTCAGTCTAGTAGGTGGGCTATACAGTAACTCTCCTAAGTAGTACCTGGGGCACTTGGAGGTGCTTTATGGAGGGGCTAAGCTGAGCCTGGACCGAGGTCTGAATAGGAGACCGGCAACTGAGGCAAAGGAGGAGGCATGGGTGCTCCTGGTCTCTTCAGGGAATGATTCCACAGTGAGATGGCAAAAACCCACTCAGCAGGGTTTAGGCTTTGTTTCGTTTTTCTGTTCTTTGAGGTTTTTCTCTTTTTCCCTCTGTTTTCTTTATCTGTTCTAGTGATGCCTTAATTTGAAGCTGGGTTTTCAAAACTGCAAGGAGGAGGAAATTAGATCCAGAAGGCTTTTAGGCTTTGAACTAATTTGGATTTTTTTTCTTTTGTATTAAGATTTCATTAGATAATCAAGATTGGAATCACCAAGTGTTAATATAAGAATGAAAAGTATAATGGAGGGTGCCTGGGTGGCTCAGTCAGTTAAGTGTCTGCCTTTGGCTCGGGTCACAATCTCAGGATCCTGGGATCCAGCCCTGTATGAACCCTGTGTTGTGCTGCCTGCTCAGTGGAGAGTCTGCTTCTCCCTCTCCCTCTGGCTCTCCCTCTGCTCATGCTCTCTCTGAAATAAATAAAATCCTAAAAAAAAAAAAAAAAAAAGAGTGAAAAGTATAAAGGAACATGCCAAAATAATAAACTTACTGCTTTGTTATCATAGCCTGTTATTATTAACGTGAAATACTATTGAAACATTGTAAGTTAAAGGTACATTTTAGTTTTTTAAAAAAATGTTAGTAACTTTAGTGAAGGAGAATTTAGATGTGGGAGTAGGGGAAGATTTATTTTTATAAGGTAATTTTTATTCTGACAAGGACTATTATTTTTAAAAGTGTTTTGTACCTAACATTTTTTTAAGTAAACATGTTACAGTTGGAAAAGTTAAATAAGCAATATACTAAAGAGTGGATTTTTTTTAGGTATGTATTCTAT